TAATTGGATTGGTCATGTTTTACGCAGAAACTGCCTTCTAAAAGAAGTTATCGAAGGAAAGATAGAGGGGCGGATAGAAGTGACAATAAGACGAGGAAGAAGACGTAAGAAGATGCTGGTTGACTTTGGGGACAGAAGAGGATACTGTCATTTGAAGGAGAAAGCTCTAGATCGCATTAAGTGGAGGAATTGTTTTGGAAGAGACTGTGGACCTGTCGTCTTGACAGATTACTGATGGTGATGATGCCCACTGCTAGGGAGCGATTCGGTAAACACATTTCCGCTGAAGCAAACGCACGCAATAATAGAACATCCACTGCTAGGCAACGGATCAATAAACACGCCTCCTTAACAAGAGGCTGTTTTCTGTGTGATCCGTGCAAAGTGGCCATAAAGAAGTGTTCGGCAATGTAGGAGAGTAACCCCGTGTGATGCGGGGTCGAATGCTTCCACCGTGACCCTGCGAGTCGTTGAAGGCGACGAAAAGGGAAGTTTAAAATCTGAGACAGTAAAATATGGTCGCGAGTCCCAAGGGACTCGGACCCGAGAAAGACTGCGCTGGCAAGAGCCAGCAGCATATACGAAAGACAGACCCGTCCTCTCGTCGTAGAGGGCGCCCCACAGAAACAAGACAGTAACTGTCAAACGGTAATGACCAATATCTGGTCATGAGCCACAGATGTGGCTCGACACCAAGACTTACTGACTGACTGACCGTCAGTCCCAATGTGACTTGGACTTGGTAGAGTAGTATAAAAGTTGTCAGAATTTGGTTGAGTTCTGTAGATGAGCTGTTGTTCGAGAATCCGGTCGAGTTCTGGAGATGGCAGCTGTTGTCAAGAATCCGGTCGAGTTCTGGAGATGACAGCTGTCGTCGAGAGTCCGGTCGAGTTCCGGAGATGACAGCTGTTGTCGAGAATCCGGTCGAGTTCTGGAGACGGCAGCTGTTGTCGAGAGTCCGGTCGAGTTCTGGAGATGGCAGCTGTTGTCAAGAATCCGGTCGAGTTCTGGAGATGACAGCTGTTGTCGAGAATCCGGTCGAGTTCTGGAGATGGCAGCTGTTGTCGAGAATCCGGTCCAGTTCAGGAGATGATAGTCTAAGGCGACTGAGAAGGGATGACAAGGAAGGAAGACTTCATGAGTGAGTTGAGTCAGAGTTAGAAATAGAGTTACTTTACGACTGGCGGTTAATCTTTCTCCAACTGAACACTTGCGGCCATAGTCCTTATGTAACATCCCCTCGTCGTTTAAAATTGTCGCTGGCCCTCACCAGCACAGTCATTCTCAGGTCCGAATCCCGCGGAACTAAAAACCATATTTTACTATCTCAGATCCCAGACTCCCCCAACCTGGAGGGCCAGGTCCCTGTATTTACATCCCCCAGGAACAGGGTGGCCCGGTTATACCCCCAGGTACTGGGTTACATTTTCGTCACCTTCTACGACTCGCAGTGCAACGGTGGAGGTATTGAACCCCGCTTCCATATGGGGATGTGTGATTTGAAGTTACAGAGAAAATGCTATAAATCCGTTGATAGGGTACGACTAACGAAGAATGAGAACCCTAGTGTGTGTGTAACGGTGAACTGTAAAGTGTGTAGATCGGCGATAGCGCTGTATTGCCTGTAATCTCTAGTTGTGTGAATAAGGTGTCAATAATTTCAAACATCCAATTTGAACCCCTTCTTATAAGTCACCCCTACACGTGACAATATTATTTTGCAGATGGCGGTTGCCTTCATGTTGGCGTATCCATACGGCTACCCGCGAGTTATGTCCAGCTTTTATTTCAATGACTTCGATCAAGGTCCTCCCCAGGACGCGAATGGCAACATTCTCTCTCCTATCATTAACAGCGACGACACCTGTGATAATGGGTGGGTTTGTGAGCACCGCTGGAGACAGATCTACAATATGGTGGGCTTCCGGAACGTCGTGGCAGGTACTGTATCCAGTCAAAGCAAACACGTCAATCTTCGGAAATAAGAGTTCTGTTATATTTCAGCATCCTGTTGCGTTGTACAGATCTCAGTTTGGAGCTTCTGTGCCGTCAATGTGGTCCCCTGTCACCGCGGCATGGCGCGTCCTCAGGTTGCGGATGGAGGAGACGCCCTCCAGTTCTGGAGGGAAGCTGCGAATATATTGAATAAGCGGTAGCGGACAGCCGACAAAGAGTGGTCCTCCAGCTTGGGGGTTAGGCGTGAGGCTACAACTCCTTACCGTAAAAAATAAACTTGTTACGAAAATTCTCAAGAAGCCTCAAGGAGGATGAGGTGGGCAGGGCGTGTAGCACGAATGGGGGAGAAAAGAATGCATATAGGATATTGGTGGGAAAGCCAGAAGGAAAGAAACCGCTACGAAGACCAAGGCGTAGGTGGGTGGACAATATTAAAATGGATCTTAGAGAGATATAATTGGATGATATGGATTGAATTGATCTGGCTCAGGATAGGGACCAGTGGAGGGCTCTTGTGAACACGGTAATGAACCTTCGGGTTCCATAAAATGCTGGTAAATTCTTGAGTAGCTCCAGGTTTTGCTTTTCCTCAAGAAGGGCTTAGCTCTGTAAGTAAATAAGTAAGTAAGTAATGTGCAACGTCGTTCACTATTCTTTCTTCATATTCATTTATTGGCCACGAACGACCATGACGGCTGACCAACACACAACAGAACTCCCGCCCCAGCAAAAAAATCCAAGGCAGACACAACCAACAAACAAAACATAACCAAAAGGAACCATGTGCAACCCAAGGACACTCAAATAAAACTGGTGGTAACTCATACGAGTATAACCAAAATAACCGGACGCAACTGCATTAGAGTGAGCAGCAGAATCCTGTACACCTGAAGATGGCCAGTTACGCCGAAACATATAGTGTCCAATAAAGGAATACGAAGAAAGAATAGTGAACGACGTTCCACATTGACAGCACAAAAGCTTCAAAAGTCAGATCACCACAAATATTGTAGCAGGGCGTACTGACCAGAACGGGGGTGCAGAGACAAAATGGGCCTTCACTGGTGCCCCTTCTCCTCACACACAAATTTTGGATTTGTAAATAAATTTAAAGAGATGTCTTCGAAAACTGCAAATATTTATAAACGACAGAAATTAAGATCCACACTGTGGTCTTCTGGGCTATGGCACCGTATGGTCTAGTACGTAATTGCCAGTGCTTCAAAAGAACGAAATGTTTTCTTCAGAACAGAAGACGAATGGTAACATACATACGTATATTTCTGAAATGTTGGTACCTCATGCTGAACAGCATAGAGTCTCAAAGTAAAAATCTGAATATTCACTAAATATTATTTACCATATGAAAGAACCATTTAAACCTTTCGCCTATCAATATCTAGATAATATTAAAAATTATCCCACGGAGTAAAAAATGTCTCCGTTTAGAAGACCAATCAGTTGATGTTGTTTAGGGAAATATTCATTGTATCTACTGAGAACCATATGAGCACTCTGTGGCCAGGATACAGAGCTTCTTAACGTTAAAATAGATCGTACATATTGTCACGTGTATAAGTGGCCACAGAAGAGGGTTATGGATTAGTAATTGGATTTATTGAACACTTACACATCGTAATTATAAGTAACAATAGCTCTATCACTAATTCACAGAACCTAAAATCCACTACAATATGTATTGAATCTTCTCAGTCTGTTGTGTCTTCATAAGTCGTTGTCTTGTGACGGCTTCCAACTCCGTAGAACCCTCAACTTCCGTCTTCACGTCCTTACTGACCGGCGACTCACAACTAACTAAACTTTAGAATTGTACTGCTTATAACATTTCGGCACGGACCGCATACAAAACACCGTATCCCGGTTAGTCCACTGGTGCGTGTCAAAAATCTGTTACGTAGCAACGGGAGTTCTTTACAGAGTCATTAATTATGAACAATACAGTAGACACTGTTTTAAAGGATTAAACAGTTTTAAAAGGGAAAAAATGAACGAGAAACACAAGGGAATTTGATAAAAGGATACGTTTAACAAAGGAAATTGATTTCAACCTCTATCCCAGAGCTGAAATCAATTTGCTGCAATAAAAGTGGTTCTGAAGGACCCTTGAAGAGAAAGGCAGATGCCTTTGTGAGCACTTAATGGTGCCAAAATCGAGAAGACTTCACAATATCGTTGTGAGACGTCTAGGTTCCAACATTTTCTTAACAATCGGCTCACAGACGGCGGTGAGGTTGTCAGGCTTACTCACCAGACGCCCTTTACCTCCAAAAAGATTCCCGGTACTCAGTCACTCCTTGCACACATGTCATATCAGTTAGTCTTGTACTGTGCTTCTGTATAAGCAGTATCACGAACATGTAATCGCGGATGAATGAATACGTTTGTCATGAACGATGACAAATGGAGTTTCTCACACTTCCAACCACACTTAACACTGCTCATGACACACGACGCTTGTAATAAAACTGTGCAAGAAATAATACACATACTGATATATTGGGTTTCTGGACTTCAACTATCGTCCTGGTTTTTATTTGTTATCTTAAAAACCAGGACGATGGATGAAGTCCAGAAACCCAATATATCAGTGTGTTATACACCATCGTCAGAATCCTATAGTAACTAAATAATACACATACTGAGAAGCACTTCTCCGTTCTCACATTTAACCCTTCTAATTAATTTCATGGTTCTGAGCCCTTCTTAAGAAGCCGCCAGTTGTGCAGCTACTCAAGAACTTCCCAGCATCTCATGGATCCCGAACGTTCATTAGCGTGTTCACAAGATCCCTCCACTGGTCCCTATCCTGAGCCAAATCAATCCAGTCCGTTCCACACCATTCTATTTCTCTAAGATTCATTTCAATATTATCCACACAGCTATGTCTTAGTCTCTTTCGTTCTGGCTTTCCCATCAATGTACTTCATGCATTCCTCTTCTCCACTCGTGCTGCATGCCCTGCCCATCTCATCCTCCATGACTTGATCTTTCTAATTATACTTGGCGAAGAGTTCAAGTTATGAAGCTCCTCATTATGTAGTCTTCACTATTCTGAATTTTGCGGTATACTGGATAAGCCTACGCAATTTCAATGACATATTTTCTCGTGGCACGACCACTATTGTTAGAAACCAGTAAGTTGGCTCAAGCAGTAGCGCTTGTAACTTCTATTCGTGAGATACCAGATTTGAATCCCGGCCATGATATCCATTATCTGAATTTCTTTGCTGTACTTTCAAGTCCTTCCAGGCAAGTGCCGGCATAATACCACGATAGCTTTCATTCGTTTCTTTTCCAATTCATTAACCATCTTTAACTTTAGGCTGTAAGTAGTGCTAGCTACTGCACATCATTTCAAAATAAACCAAAAAACACTTACGTTAAAACTACCTGATGTGAACGGGAGTGTCTCATCAAGAAGCTGGGTGGGTATCCTCTAGTCATCTTGTGCTAATCATGAAATAAACACCAGAAATGGTAGAAACGACGGAACTGAATGAGACAGCTCAGGTTCCTGGTGTAAAATAACACAATCAGAGAATAAAGTATGCTTTTTTTTATTGCTATTGTGGTGGGACTAAGTCCCTTGTAGTGTGGCCACTTCTGGCCTATTGTCCCAGCCCCAGATGATAGGCGAGGGTGATTGTGGAACAATTGGTGGAATGAAGATTGGCAGAGGAAACCGAAGTACTTGGAGGAAACCTGCCCCAGAGCCACTTTGTCCACCACAAATTCCACTTGACCAGACTAGGGATCGAACCCGGGCAGCCGCGGTGGGAAGCCACCGACTAACCGCTTGAGCTATGGCGCGGCCCAAATAAATTATGCTTACTCAGAATGAGAATTAATGTTTCATTTTGTTTTTAGGAACTGGTATGAATGACTGGTGGGACAACTGGGACAAACAAATCGCTTTTTGCAGAGGTGACAAAGGTTTCATCGCTTTCAATGACCAATATAATGTGGACTTCAAAGAGTCATTACAAGTAAGATATATTACAGAATTTGTATATACGAGTAAGCATAATTACACTACAGAAGAAGCAGGTGGTTTATCGGCATACTGTGAGTGAGCTACCGTAATATAAAATGAAAATATCACGATTTTTGTTGACCACAGACGCGGTTTGGACTGGTAATTATATTTACTCAACTCTCTGGTACAGAGTGTGACTGCACTTCACATTTCACTATTACACATATACACTAGTGACCACAGTCACGTCTTCACTAGCCGTTGCTCGATAGCGACTTCCAAAGGCGGATATTCCCCTTTCCTTTGGATTCCCGAACTATCCTTGACCTCAGCTACCAGCGTCTCACAGCAAATTCTCACGACTGATCCTCAGCAGTTATCTCACTCACCAACCAACTCTCTGCAGCTCTTAACTTGTCTTCCTTATACCATCTCGGCACTGACAGCACAGAAAACACCATTCCTCTGTTGCTGTTTAAGGGCCGCTGCCTAGATTCTTGCCTAGCAACGGGTCTGCATGCCGCAAACAGGTAACAGACCGATGATGGCATATTTCGTGCTTCAGGCAACAAAGTGTGACTGCATATAGCTGCTGATATTACACTTTTTTTCGATCGCTTTTCCAGCCCATTCAGGGCCCTGCCCTCTTATTCAGTTCCGTGATCATTTTCAAAGACGATATGACTCCTTGGACAAGTGATAAGCCCGTCGCAAAGCCGCTACCTAAACACAGGACAACACAAACACAGAATAAACGCATACACACACCACACATCCATGCCCGAAGTGCGATTCGGACCCACGACCCCAGCGTCCGAGCGATCGAAGACTGCGCGGCTACTGTGACCAGCGTTGATATTACATAGGCAAGGTAAAGAAAAGTTAAAGCCGCCCTGTAACAGTCCGTGGAGGCCCATAGGGTTGTGAGACGTCGAGACTCCCACATTTTCTAGACAGTCGGCTCGCAGATGGCGGTAAGATTGTTAGCCTTAGGCGCCGGCCAGCCATTATCCCAAGGAAGATTCCTGGTACTCATCTCTGTTAGATGCTGAGTCGATTCCAGGGTCATAGTGAGTCTGGATTAGCTCAATTGAAAAAATCCAACGACTTCATCGGGGATCGAACCCGCGACCTCCCGGCTCGTAACATAATGCTTGAATCAAAATATATCTCTGAAGACATGGCACACCTTGAACAGATACCCTTACGTGTATTGAATGAGATCACCGACATGCCGAATTTAGTTGCCATTCAGTGCTGAAAGTGGAATCTGAGTTAGGGTCTAACGGTGACGCACTCTCAAAGATATTTCAGGTTTCTCTCATGCAGACTAGATACGTGAATGCTCTTGCATGGTTTCAGACCTGTCTCCCTAATGGGACCTACTGTGACATTATCTCTGGTTCCAAGTCTGAAAAGGGCTGTACTGGAAAGTCTGTTACTGTGGATGAGAATGGAAAAGCGTACATTGAAATTCTTCACGATGAATATGATGGAGTGCTAGCAATTCATGTTCAGGTAAGTTTCCAGAATTTTACTAAATTTTGCATGTTTGGCTCTGTTACTTCTTCGAACCCTCGTCCCCAGCTGCACTCATAGAGAAATTTTAAGGACAGTGTCAAACACTGTAACTAGCTCCAGGGATCCGAAGCTAACAATCGCATGGCCACTGAAGAAATACCGAACGTATTATGGAAGCCGAAGGTCCATTACCATGTAAACAAGAACCCGCCACTGGTCTCTATCCTGAGCCAGATGAATCTAATCCATACTCCCCAACTTATTTCTCTAAAATCCAAATTAATATTATCTTCATCTCTTCGTCTTGGTCTTCCTTGGTCTCTTTTTCTTAGATTTCCCCACCAAAATCCTTTTCTCTCGCATGCATGCTACATTCCCAGCGCATATAATTCTCCTTGACTTCATCATTCTAATTACATTTTGGCGAGGAGTACAATTTATGAAGCTCTTCGTTATAAAATTTTCTTCAATCTCCTATCATTTCACCCGTTTTTTATCCAACTATTCTGCTTAGCAACTTGTTCTCAAACACCCTCAGTCTCATGCCCCTAAAGATGCACAGGAGGAATGATGCCTTTGTTTCTAGACAGCAGGCGAGAAGAGAATTTAATTTTCTCATTACTGAAATTCTGAATTGTTATTGTCGTTCACCGAGATCTGAATTCTGCCACAATTCTAAGTACCGGTGGGTATCTCTGCGTAAATGTTGGCCATGCCATAGTTCTGGTGGGTAGTCGCCAATTTCCCAAAGCAGTGGTCCGGGTTAGATCCTAAGTCAAGGCTTGTAGAATTTGTTGCGGGTAAAGTGGCAAGTACCTCGTTTTGTGCTGCCAATTCAATTAATTATCCTATTAAAAAGCGGAAGAATAACTATGTAAAATCTAGAAAGATTAAATGCCCCCTTCATGATGAAGTTATACAAATTGAAATACGTTGGATTTTGGAAATAAATATTGTGACATGTCTGCTGAAAGCCGCGGTAGTTATAACGTTACGGAAACCCGGTAAGGACACAAAATTCCCTCAGAATTTGCGTCTGATTAATCTAGTTTTCACAACAGGCAAGCTTTCAGAGAAAGTTATTCTGAAAATAGTCCAAACGCACGTTGAATAAACAGGCCTGCTTAGTGCAAGCCAGTTTGGTTTCCGTGCCAGTCACAGCACGACACTTCAATTTATCAGGCTTACGGACCACGCCACCTTAAATCTCAATAATAATAATATTTCTACGGCTGCTGTATTCCTGGATATTGAAAAGCCTTTGATACCACATGGCTCCTTCGCTTGGTGTACAAATTATCTCAGGTAAAATTTTCGATCAGTCTAATCAAGCTTAGCTCTTTTCTTTCTCAGAGGAAATTCAGAGTCTCTCACAGTGATATACGTGTAAGCAGGGGGGCCACAACGTTCTGTCCTGCCCCCTACATGGCAAAAATGTAAAGCTATCCTTGTAAGAGATTGTGGAGGCCAATAGGGTTGTGAGATGTCGAGGATCCCACATTTTCTCTAGACAATCGGCTCACAGGTGGTGGTGAGACTGACATCGTTAGGCATCCCAGGACATAATGTGGCTGGAAGGATTGGGTCAATTGAAAAATTCAATGGCCTCACTGGAAATTGAACCCGCGACCTTCCCGTTTGTAGCATAGTATCTCAAACAACTATGCTACCGCATGCCCCCACACATAAAGATAACCCCCAATCACCTGGTGTCTCTGTAGGTCTCTTTGCTGACGACGCCTGTATAGAAGTATATGCGAGAGACCGCAAAGAAGGTTGTGTACTCAGAAAGCTGCAGCGAGGTCTCAGTGCTACTGAGAAGTGGTGTGAGCACTGGAACATTAAAATCAATGAACATAAGACTCTGGCCATATAGTTTCTCAAAGCCATTCGGGGTGAGGCTAATCTCATACCGAATAGATGGAACATTCCCTTCGTCAATCATATAAAATATTTCGGTGTAATCTTCGATAAGAGGATTACATGGAGACTGCACACAGAAGTGATTGAAACCAAGGCCTTCAGAACATTTATTGGAACATACTTCCTACTCAAAAGTGGGTGTTTATGCACCAACAATAAAATAACCCTCCATAAAGCACTGATTAGGCTAGTAATAACATAATGCTTGCCCCGCATAGAAATTTGCTGCAGATCCAGTTTCCGAAACGTCGTGTTTTTATTTGTTATCTTAAAAACCAGGACGATGGATAAAGTCCAAAATCCCAACATATCAGTGTACATAACCTTTCTTTTTTGATTGCAGTCAAAGCTGTAAATCAAGATGGCGGAGGAACATGTACAAGAAGATGCGTTACTAGTAAGAATAAAAAATAATTCAGCACTTTCATTCCTCTGGTTTCAGTTTAATAACAGTATCATGTAGGCCTACGCATGTTTGCTAGGTGCTAGCTTGGCCATCAGCACAACAATCAGTAAATGAAAGAGATGTTAACGTGTTGATACAGGTGCTACACATACTTTGTAATTGTTCTTTCAATAAAATGTTAAATCTCCTATTGCACAAACAATGGTTTTATTGACAGCCTACTTTTTAATAATAAGAATCCCGATTGTCAACCCCAAACAAAAATATCCAGAATGATGGAAAAGGCATGGGCATGATTTACAGTAGTTCTGTGGGAGTGCATGGTGCAGCCTCCAGATATTGATAGTAACTGCGGATATATTGAACACGCAGTCATGGACAGCCGACAAGGGGTGTGCCTCCATCTTGTGGGTTGGACATAAGGCCTACAACTCCTCATCGTAAATATAACGGTGTTGCAAAATGTCACAAAGGACCTCGGTGAATTATATGGATAAACGACCTAAGCGAAAGAAAATGGATATGAGATTGGGTACTTGGAATGTTAGAAGTATGTATAGGGCAGGTTCATTCAGGGCAATGGTGAAAGAAATATCAAAATATAAGTTAGATTTAGTGGGAGTAGTGGAGGTCAGATGGGACGGAGGTGGCACTGGACCAACAGGCGAATATACATGTTTCTACGGAAAAGAGAATGAGAACATGGAGCAACACTAGAGACACGTTATTAAGAGAGCAGCACACCCAATGGGACATGAAAACAGCCACAGTACGTGAGATAGAAAGAAAATAATCCTACAACATCAGAATTCACAGGAGTTAATAATAACAATAATGGTGTGTCTTAATGAATACAATTAGTGCATTGCCAATGATGTGTAGAGATGCTAATGGGAATCTAATAATGCATCAACTACAGGTATTAGAAAGATTGAAGGAATATTTCATTGAAATGTTTACTTTGGCAGAAACAGACCCGATCCCTGATATTATGGATGAGTCAGCGGGTGATAATGACTTGTATACTGAACCTTCAACATACAACGAGGTATGTACAATAATCAACATACTCAGAATCAATAAAGCTGCTGGACCAGACAACATTACCCCAGAGATAATTAAATTTGGTGGACAAACACTGAAACAAAGGATACATAAGCTGATACTGAAGATATGACAGGATGAAGAGATCCCTGCACAGTGGGGGGAAGGAATCATAGCACCAGTACATAAAAAAGTGATAAGCTGGCATGTCATAATTACAGAGCAATAATATTATTAAACATCTCATATAAAATTTTTGCAGTTCTACTGAACAATAGACTGGTAGCTACTACAGAAAGTAAATAGGATGATTGTCAAATGGGATTCGGGCCAAACAGATCAACAACAGATAATATATTTAGAGTTAAACAGATCTATGAAAAATGCTGTGAGTTTAATATTGATATCTATAACATATCTGTAGACTATACACAAGCATTGGTTCTGTTAAGAGGTGTCAAATGATATACCGCCTCAAAAACTACGATGTTCCACCCAAACTAATCAGACTAATAGCAGCAACTCTCCAAAACACGAAAGCAAAGGTTAAAATAAATGGGGAGCTTAGCGAAGGATTCCAAATAAGCTGTGGAGTGAAACAGGGTGACCCATTATCTGCATCACTTTTCATACTAGTTACAGATGAGATCATAAAAAGTCTAGATATTAGAGGTAATATTTCCACAAGGTTAAAACAGTGTTGTGCATATGCTGATGAAATATTCATTATTGCAAGAACCAAACAAACACTGATTAACACCTCTGAAGAGCTTAAAAAAGCCTCACAAAGGTATGGGCTGTTAGTCAATGAAAAAAAAACTAAATTCCTACACTGTTCTATTTCTTCAAATAATTCAAGATCTCAGATGCAGTGATGTAAATATAAAACAAGTCTCTCGTTATAAATATTTAGGGTCTATAGTTAATTCAGATAACACAATTGAACAAGAGATAAAAGAGAGGTTAGGAACTGGAAATAAAGCATATGCTGCACGTTTAACACTGTTTAAAAGTAAACTTATTTCTAAAATAGCTATATTAAGATTATACCAGATGGTAATTTGACCAACAGTAATCTACGCCTGTGAAACCTGGACACTTAAAGAAGGCATTAAACATAGACTTCTAGTCCTTGAAAGGAAAGTTCTAAGATAGATGTTAGGGCCATCAAGAAACCGTGATGGCTCCTGGAGAATTAAAACAAATGATGAACTAGATAATCTAATAAAAGGAAGGAACAGTTAACTTCATCAAAGCCCAAAGAATAAGTTGGCTTGGACACATCTCAAGGATGGAGGCTGGACAAACAGTTAAAAAATATATGACTGGAAGCCACACGCTATAAGAAAGAGAGGCTGACCTAAGATCAGATGGAAAGATGATGTAAGGGAAGACCTAAAGGACTCAGGAATTTATAACTGGTTAAGTCACACACAGGACAGAAGTATTTGAAAGGAAATTGTTGAGCTGGCCAAAGCGTACAAGCAATGAAGCTATCGAGTCTTATGAAGAAGAACTGTGACAGGGTGTCAAATATAAGTCTCAATGAAATGAAGTTTGTATCAATGTGAAGGCTAATAATTCTTTTATTTAAGTATTATAAATTATTTCCAAGTTTACACTGTAGAATGTGAGAGAATTGTATCAACATGATTTAAATTATTCCACCTCAGAAATACTAGTATTGACAGCTTAACAAAATAGTAAGTGTGAATATTGTGTAAGTAGTATAATGCTGTACAATAAAAAACACTGAACATGAAACATACACAATACAGATCCCTGTGACAGTCAAACAAAATTAGACTTTTTAAACTATATCATAATAACTATCAATATTAATATCTACAAATTATACAATTTCAGTACTTTTGGCACATGTTTACTTTTTTACAAACTGACACTCATGAAGTAATCTTAACTGCAATATAAAGTTATCTTGTTTACCATCATCACTAGGTTAGTCATGTAACAATATAATAACATATATAGTTTCATTTATTTATGTCACACACTCTTCTGTTTCAGATCATGTATCTTCCTACTTCAGTAATAACTGTTATTTGAAGGGCTGGAAAGTTTAATATGTCTTTAAGAAAAAAGCGTTACAGCAACAGTGAAAGATTTCTCGCTTACTATATATCCGCATAAATCATCTGGTTTAGGGCTGTGTGGAGTAGAATATAGAAACACAACATTAAATAAACTTTTTTAAACAATTATTGACTTCTGGACATTAGTTCTGTTTTTTATTTAAAAACATTCTGGAGACTGGACTCTGTCTCCATCCTCAGGCAAAAGCCTATTTGATTGGGCCCAACCAATAGGGACTAGCTGTATCAGCTGGGTCCAACTAAGTAGCCTTTTTACCCAAGGATAGAGCCAAGAGTCAAATTTCTGGAAAGCTGGTCTTAAATAAACAACATGATGATGGATAATGTCCAAAAGGTCAATAATTGTATTAATATACCATGATCACAAACTTTTAAACTTTTTTATGTTCAATCTGTTGCAAAATTATTTCATAAGATGCCTGCAATATGGATATAAATGCTGACTGAACCAAATTTACATACAACAGATATATCTTTTATTATAGTTACTTGGCTTCCCGCATGTTTTAAGCATTCTACATGCTGACAGTAATGAACAGTGCTACACTCAGTTCACTTACAGTTCTTATATAAGGTTATTTTGTAGCCAGATTCTTCCTTCTATACACCTACATATATATATATAAAGGTTATTTGATTTTTAATTAAAAAAAAAACCCCATTGTGTTATTTATAGTCTTAATTATAATAAAATATTTGCGAGCTCTATTTATATTAGACCTTGACTTTTCTTCACCTGATACACACATGCAAAAGCAAGAGGACAATGTTAAAATGAATCTTACTGATAAAAGATGTATGGATATGGACTGCATTTACTGGCTTCAGAATATGGACCAGTGGACATGTTAATGAACCTTTCCAATAATCAGTAACACATGAACACCTCCATATTACAGGAAACATTAGTGCTGCTTAATGCAATCCTGAAAGCTTACACAATATTATGTTGTAAAAGTTTTAGTGATTTTCTGTGACATAAATCAACAATATAGTGGATGGCCAAAATCTGTATTACCTTTCAGTATGATAACCAATAAACAAATAAAGCTAACATCGTTTATATATAGGCTTATCAACAATTTGCATCATGGCAATGTTGTGAGGATTTTAGGCAATATCAGGCAAATATAATGTAGTCAAAACCTACATCAGTGCAAATCATGTACAGAAATGGATGTCTAAATTGCATAATTACTAATTTATGTCTCATCCTGGCCTCACTGTATACAATGAAGCATTTTAAGTAGATGTATGATATTCTGAAATATTTTTCATTATCTCTGAAATGACATATGCTGGAATAGAAAATTATAAGGAAATATGTAAATGTTGTGTGCACGTGGAAGTGCTATGTAATTATACACATATACTCTATAACATAAATTCATCATCTCGTGTTACTAAATTACCTGCTCTCAGCTATCAAACAATATCTCCAATAAAAATATTTTTGGAGAGAAGTTAAGAATATCCTTTATTTTGTGAGGGAAAGAGAAATCCAAAGTAGCACAATTTTGATGCAAGGTGACACACTCTTCTGGGTTCAGTGAATCGAATTAATTTTGAGTATCAACTAATTTTGTAAACCAGCTATTAGAGCCCTTGCACTTGAAACCTGTTGCCTCCTTTCTATTGCTATCTTGATACAGTTTTAAGCAAGAGGATTTATCCATTCAGCTGTTTTCATGTCTGTTTCTATCTGATTTAGACAATTAGTGACGGGATTACATACAATTCTTTATCTGTAATTTTAAAATTGCTTGAAACCAATAATTAAAACCATTAACTAAGCAGCTTTTGAACCAATAAATCAACAGCCTTTATACAGATAAATAGGTAGAAGTTAATTAATAAAGTTACTTAATTCAAGAGTGTTCAAAGTTATTAAGATTCCAGTCACAACCATTATGTCGGAACTTCTGTCATATATCCCACTGCATTTTACATTTATTTTTGCAACTGAATTACTTCTGTCCAGAAAAGACCTTAATTTTGGATTACTGTATGTGGTTGCAAGATACCTGAATCC